GTCGACTTCATGCTTGCCATTATTGTCCACCTTATCCGGCAGGAACAGGTCACACCGCAGCTCTCAGAGAAGCTGCAGCCCCAGGTTCGCTGCATGCAGCTGCAGCAGCTAGTCAGCTCCCTACAGCAACAAAACCAGACTGCCCAGCAGCAGCTCAAGGCCACCAAGGCCGAGAACGAGGCCCTCGCTGACCGCAACCGCGCCCTTGAGTTCCAGCTCAAGTCGTACGAGCAGATGTTCCGCTCCCCCAAGTCCGAGAGCACCAGCCCCGGCCCCGTTCTTGACTTCCCCGAGCACAAACGCCAGAAGAAGAATGGCCTACCCGGCATGCGGGTGCTCTGCGATGAGATCGCTGCCGGCATGCCTTCCGAGCCTTCCTATGCTGCTCCCTACTATGACTCCATGCCTAGCTCGACCTCGCAGTCCTTTGGCAGTTCCTATCTCTCTGCCACGCCGCCTATGACCGGTCCTTCTTCTCCTGCCTTTCCCCCTTCCCAGTCTTCCTCTTTCTCATACCCAGTGCCGTCCCGTCGCCACTCTCTCATTACCTCTCCATGAAGCCGTGGAGATTGATGATGCACGCCCGATATTGAACACTGTTCACTGATGATATCATGACTCTTCTACCTTTCTGCCTGTGCCCCGTCCTCCTTCTCATCAGAGGCCCTTGCAGCAGTGCTTGTTCTCCCTACTATCGGGTCCGTTTGGCTTCCTCCTTCCGTCGTCTTCCCGCTTCATGTGCATTTAGCGACTGCATTGTGTAACAATATTTTGATCTCGGGGATGCACCATAGGTTCCCAATTTGCTTTATTTCTTTTCCTTTGTTGATTGATTTCGTTGCGGGTTTCCTTTTCTTTTTTTGCACAAATGCGGTGGTCTTTCTTCTTTCTTTTTGTCTCTTGTCTTTTGGCGTTGTTTATGATATGGATATATGTTCAGGTGGATATATTTTGCCTTTTGTTTATTTCTTTGTTTCCTTTGTCACTTTCTTTTTTTATGTCTATAGCTATGACTCAATCGATCATCTTGGATGAAAATATGCTCTTGTAGAACGATGATAGTCCTGGTAGTAAATTGTATCATCTCCCTTATCACCATGATTTGTGATGATGCATATGCCAATTCTCTCTCTTGTACTAGTAGCTATATTGATATGCTTCCCGAGCTAGCACAACCTTACTCTGAGAAGGAATCAGAATACAGTAATGCAGCAAGTGATAGATTTAGGTTTATATGTAGATATAGTACAACCCCTCGCTTGATCTCGGACCGCTGTGCAGATTGTTGTTTAGGTGAATATTAGGAGCGATATATTCTCCTTTCAGTGGATAGTATAACATATAGATATCTACTAAAGATTTCATGAATACTGGGCCTAGACATGAGAATGCAAAGAATATTCCAATCGGTACCATATAGGATCTATTCCAACGAATCAGCCGTCTCTCAGGTGTCAGCCGGTGGAGACCAGTCCAGACTGAGAAACGGACGAGTTTTCTCCGAGTGTTTTGGATTGTGACTGAATTGTATTCTTTCTCATGAGAATAGTAGAATAGTAGTTCAGATTTATACATACTAGCGTAGGAATGGTATAAAATATAGTCGGGTCCAGGCCATGTCTCACTTTAGCCTCGTGTTGAAGATCCCACTTGTCATTTCCAATGCTTTTATTTTGTAATCTCTGTAATCAATTAAAATGAATGGAATTTTAGGGGGAAAAGAGAAATAGAAGAAGAACTACAACCTCATGTTAGAATCGACAGAGATGGACAAATTAAGAGTGGAAAAGTACTGTGTCAGTGTCCACGCAATCCATGCAGCAAAGTGGCTACATATCTAAATAGGGGCACAGAATATGGAGTAGATGGACAGCTCATTTAATTGCACCCGTACCTGCGTGGCAACATAATAAGAAGAAACGGTGATATAATAGCCCCTAAAGTGCACGAGGTTCTAGATGATCCAGGCTAAATAAAGGGTTCTCAGCCGTCACACTGGTTAAGGGGACAAAGTGAATAATTTGAGATGCTTAGTCGATTGTATACGACAGTAAAATAGCCAAAGATCCCTCATAACTGCTCACAATCCCATCAACATTGCAGAATAACACGTAGAAAAAGAAATGTAGTTGTTTTACTGATCTCCCCCCGTTCTTGGCAGACAATCGCATTTCCCCCGATTCCCGATTCTGTTTTCTCCCTACCCATTCGCCTCACCATTCCTCTCGACCCTTTTCTTTTCTCCACATTCGTTCGGGGGGTTTTACAACGAGTGTTCGAGACGGGATAGCCCCTGGAATTCTACACAACCTCATATCATCTCTCATCATGTTGTTGCCAAAGGGTGGTGTTAATTGGAAATCGGCCAAGGCCAGATTGCCTCCATGGAGGGCCATCCTCGTTCTATTAACACGGACTCGCTTCTTGGTCTCCATAGCCTTGACCGGTCTGGTCATCCTCATGTGGCGCGGTGTCAGCAGGTCTGCATCAGAGATGCAAAGGTGAGAGAAACACGCGATCAACCGAGACACCCATACTGACTCGTCTGGTGCCAACAGCTTCTACTGCTATGGCTCGAGCAAGTCACCCATGGAAATGTCCATCAACGAGATGGTCGAATGGAGTGCGCACGCCCAAACCCCTGTCCTCTTCAACCGCCACGAACCCTACGAAGTCAACTCCACCACTATCACCGATCTCGACCTGAACCCCATCAAGTCTACTTCCAAGGCCGCTCTCAACCGCGAACGTGTACTCATCCTGACTCCCCTTCGTGACGCCGCTCCTTACCTGGCCAAATATTTCGACCTCCTTTACAAACTGTCCTACCCACACGATTTGATCGATCTGGCCTTCCTCGTTGGTGACTGCAAAGATGACACCCTCGCAAACCTCGCCTCTGAACTCGATCGCATCCAAAACCACGCCGAGGAGAAAGTTCGCTTCCGTAGTGCAACTGTTATTCAGAAGGATTTCGGTGCCGACGTTGAGATGACCGTGGCAGAGCGACATTCGTTCGCCGCACAGGGTCCACGACGCAAGGCTATCGCCCGCGCCCGGAATTACCTGCTCTATTCGGCTCTGAAGGCCGATCACTCCTGGGTGTACTGGCGCGACGTGGACATTACCGATTGCCCCGAGCGTATCCTGGAGGATTTCATGGCCCACGACAAGGATATCCTCGTGCCAAGTACGTGCTTCTTAGAATTTAGATCCGACGTTGGACAGCTGGCTGACAGTGACATTTTTTTTTTAGATATTTGGTTCCACCGTTACAACCAGGATGGCCATGATATCGAGGGTCGCTGTATGTATACCCACGACACCCTGTGTGATGCAGATTGCTGACATCTCCACTCTTAGTTGACTACAACTCATGGATCGAATCCGACAAGGGCCGCCGCCTGCGCGCGTCTCTGCCTACCGATACCGTTCTGGCCGAAGGCTACAAAGAGTACGACACTGGCCGCACCTACCTGGTCGGCATGGGCGACTGGCGAAACAACAAGGATGAGGAGGTGGAGCTTGACGGAATTGGTGGCGTCAACATCCTAGTCAAGGCCGATGTGCACCGCTCCGGCATCAACTTCCCCCCCTACGCCTTCGAGAACCAAGCCGAGACCGAAGGTTTCGCCCGCATGGCCAAGCGCGCTGGCTACCAGGTGGTTGGACTGCCCAACTACGTGGTCTGGCACATCGATACCGACGAGAAGCCCGGCAACCTTGGAGACCGTAAAGCGTTCTAGTTTTTGCATTCCGTCCGCCGGAAATCTCGATTGGGATCAAGTTGATCTTTGATCCCACCCCGTCCCCGAACATCCACCAGTCTCCATCGCCGCCCGTGTGTTGTCCTCCCGATGGTTACCATTAGGGGCTTTGAACCGCGGCGGCTTCACTTCTTTCCCTTCTGACCCTTTTCTTTTCCTTTTTTCCTCTTTTTGGGTGGATGTTTCGCGACGGAAAGCCTAATGACTTCCCTAATACAGAGTCTTCGTGTCGCGTTTTAGGGAGTGTGTGTATTTGTTACCTTGGCGCTAGGGGGAAAATGTTGTTTGGCGGGTTCGCAGGTCTATAAAGTTCGCCGGTTCTCCAGGCCTCTTTCCTCGATATACCGAATCTGTGTCTGGGACACACATCCCGAGTTATGGGGGTGTGTGTATATCCATTACACTCGAGTGATTCAATCTCGATCATCTGTTCTTCAAACCTACATTAGGGACGGAGAATCGGACCGTTTATTGTCATGTGTCGTTTTCTTGTTTCCCAGTCTATTTGATTCTGATTCTGCTACGCAGGTCACCTCCAAATTGTCCTTTCGATTTCATCCTTTTTTTCCGTTCTGTCATATGCTGAGCTGGCGTCCTTAACATTTTTTTTGAGATGAGAGCAGGATATCAGACCAACTCAGTTGCAATCAGATGCTGTGTGATGAGTCTAGATTCTTGCAGATGAAGCAAGGCAGATATTCGCCTGTCTGTCGAGTTTCATGTATATAATCAAATGCACGAATTCATTCCCTGCAAAGATACAAGCCACATCTTACGCATCACGCCAAGTACGTAGTTCGCTAGATCTCACTCGACGGCAATATCATATGGGCAAACAATAAGCCACCGCTGACTAGGTTTGAATAGTATGCTCTAATTTAGTAAATACAGAGTTAACTAGTGAACTAACTAGTCCTAAAATGATAACTTGATACAATCTTACTCAAACAGGTTCCTATCTGCATACCCCTGCAAGAAATTGGGCTAACAACATAACGAGTTAAGGCTAACAGGTAACGTAATCATCTCTAAGCCCCCCGAAAGCTGTCTAAGTTGCCTAACTCTGACAAGATCGAGCCAATCTCCAAAGATGAAATGATATAATCCCGACTAAACCACTTTGTTTGAAGGCGCTTGCGATCTGCCTAATACTGCCTTTGTTACTCCAGAGGGCATGGGATCTACAGGATCGCCACTATAATCAACTCCAGTTTCGCTTCATCAGACAACACGATGACCCCCGTATCTAAAACGTGTCAACGTTGCGCAGACTCTAAGGTGCGATGTGTCCGGGATACCAATATCGCCGCATGTATTCGGTAGGAATCCGGATAACCTCTCCGTGGAAGAAAACTGGAGCTCATCTAAAGCCAGGTGCCGCCGTTTGGAAAAAGAATGTGTACATCGCCGGACTGGCCGTCGATTTAACGGCTTTCATAAGGACCGGTGAGCTGGCTTTCCGTGATAAACATGGTTTAATCGCATCTAACCCATCACCCAGTAAGATCGCCGCTCTCGAGTCCAAGATCAATGAACTCAAGGCCGACCGTGCTGGCCCAAAAAACAACAACAGCACGAGCACACGCAATACATCATTAGCTGACGGCGATGCTCCTGAAGAGATCATCAACAGACACTTCCTTGACGTGGATACCGCCGAAAGGTACCTAAGCACGTTCAAGACCAAACTGACCCCACACTTCCCATTTGTGGTTGTACCCCCTGATGTATCTTTCAAGCAGCTCCGCCAGGAGAAACCGTTCCTATGCCTAGCGATTCTTGCATCGGCTTCGTACGAGAACATGCCGCTGCAGCGGGCGCTCGGCGACGAAGTCAAGAAAGTCGTCGCATCTCGCATGGTCATCGGTGGGGAGATTTCCTTCGAGTTGCTTCAAGGGCTGCTCGTGTTTCTCGCATGGTAACCCCGATTCTTATCAATACTTTGATATTTGTGAGTGCGTCTGACAGAATATGGCAGGTTGCATTATTACTCACGGCCACATCGGTATACTCAATTCCTCCAACTGGCTATAAGCATCATGATAGATCTGCGGTTGGACCGTCCGCCGCAGACACGGACGTGGAAGACAGAGTTGCGCTTCGGGCTTCAATATAATCTGCAGGATCGGACGTTTAATCGGCCTTCTTGGGGGAGCAACGAGCAGAGGGCTGTTTTGGGCTGCTACTATTTGTCGTCATCGTGAGTTTTCTTTCTGTCGGGGCTTATTGGGTATTGGCTGATAGTTGTTTCGCTTAGGATTGCGATGCTTGTGCAGAAGAAATCTACTATTCTACGTCTCCCGTACCAGGAAGAGTGTTGCAAGACTCTCCGCGAAGCCAACGAATATCCCCACGACAAGTACGTCAGCTATGTGATACAGCTACAGTTCATTGCGGAAAAGGTCGACAATTTATCTGCAAAGCATGGATTTGACTTGGAAACGCCTGGGTCGGGGTCGGAGCTGTATATCTCGAATCTTAAGTCGGACCTGGATGCATTCTACCGTCATCTACCCTTCGATATCAACGACAGCTGTAAGTCCCAGCAGGACACCAAATTCACTTTCAAGATACTTGAGACTAACTTATACCTGTAAATGAAGTTCTTCTTGCCATACAATACCACGCGACAGGGCTTGGCCTATACCAACTAGCTCTCAACATCACCAACCGAGATCCCCAACCCCAGTTCGACTCCGACTCCTGGAAAGATGACATGTCGTTCTCGGCACTTATCTCAGCCAGTTCGATTCTCAATCTCTACATTGAACTCCCATCGAACGAGGAAGTCGGATTCAACAATACACAATGGGTACAGATAGCATTTGCCTTGCTAGTTACCTATCGACATACCGTGGCAGCCTCGAAGCCAGATCAAACTGCTGCCTTCCTACAGACTCTGTCAAAATTGAAATCGAGGGTTGGGGCGTTGTCTACCTCTGATGTAGATATGAAAGGCGCTCGAGATGCTTTCTTCGACTTTAAGAACCGTATAGTTCAAATCGAGAACTGGCTTCAGGGGCATGATAGACAGGAGGATAACTCCCCCAGCGAGGAGAACTTTGAAGAGTTTCAACATACGTTATGCGTGGAATCCGAGCCGACGCACTTTGACGGGTTTACGGAGGCTGTCGAGACGGAGGATCTTGATGTCACTCTGTGGAATTTATTTTCATCTTCGGCATCGGGCTTGCAAATGCCCCATGATTTTCTATTTGCATCTTCTTCTGAGCAGATTGTGGGTGATTGGGTATGATTATGATTTCATTTACGGAGCTACCGAATAAATCTCAATATTGTCTTACCTCTTCGTATCCATTTCCTCCAGTTAGTAGTCAAAGGAATTGCCAACATGGAAGATATCAAACAAATACTGAGAAATACGTGAAAGCAGAACTGAATAAGGGGCAGTGCTGTGACTCAGAGTTTCTAAGTTGCGCTGATCGAATCCTTCTTGTATCGCCGAGCCGATCTATACAACGCGCCAAGACCTTCAGCATCACCGACCCGATTCTGAAATATAAAAAATAAATATAGATGGAAGACGGATTTGAATCCAAATCAATTGCTATTCAGTCAAAATGCCTTCAATCTCTTACGCTCCATTCTTCTTGCTCTTCTCTTCGGCCCTCTCTTTCACCCCATGTCCACTCCTCGGCCCTGCATTCCCTCCGTTTTCCCTCGACACAAACGACAAAACTGTTGCAGGGGCCCTGCAAAAGCTTACACAGAAGTTTGACACCCTAGTCGCAACTAATAATGGCACTCATGGGGATACCTCGCCAAACACCACCTTTAGCATCGCCTTGTTCTCGTCTGACGCCGGGAATGCCGAAGACGAGCCCTTCTTCTGGCAATATCATCACACAGCTCCTATATTGAACCAGTCTTTGGTAGGATCTCACACTGCGGACAAAGACAGCATTTACCGCATTGGTGGTCTCACTGAAGTCTTCACTGTGTGGAGTCTTCTTCTTGCCGGAGACGGAGACCAGATATTTGATGATCCTGTTACCAAGCACCTCCCTGAGCTGATTGATAATACTACAAGGGAACAAGATATGAATGGACGTGTAAGATGGGAGGATGTTACTGTTGGTCAGCTCGCGAGTCATATGTCTGGAATTGTGAGGGACTGTGAGTAGGACACCGAACAGGGCAAGGTTGTTGGTTATCAGAGCTAATTCATGAATAGATTGCTCGACGGATGTGACTTTGCAAACAAGTTCTGCTGAGGCTGGACTACCTCCACTCCAGGCTATCAGCATACCTTGCTGTGGTGGTGATTCCAAGTGTGATAGCAGTGGTATGAGATTCAAGTCCGTGCCTGCTCTCTGTATACTAATCTCTTTATAGATTTCATTCGACACCTGGCCAACCAAACTCGCGTGGCTCCGGCTGGGGAAACTCCAATCTATTCCAACATGGCATTCCAGCTTCTAGGCTACATAGTAGAAAAGCGCACAGGAAAGCCCTTCAGCAAAGTCCTACATCACATATTTGACGTCCTAGGCATGGCCGAAACCTCGATCTTTGCGCCAAACAGCACCACTGCAGGCATCATTCCCGTGAGCAAAGAAGCCAGTGGTTGGTCAGCACACCTCGAAGCAGACATAGCGCAAGTTCATACTCTCCCCACCACATCCCAGTCACCAATCTAACAGTGCACCCACTGCAGATCAAAATCCATTTTCTCCAGTGTCAAAGATCTCGCAACAGCCGGCCAAGCAATCCTAAACTCAACCCTACTCAGCAAACCCCAAACAAATCGCTGGTTCAAGCCAGTCTCCCACACCTCTAACCCGGCCAACTCCATCGGATCCCCATGGGTCATATACAGTGCCGGCTCATACCCCAACACATCCATGGTGGACATCTACACAGTTCTCAGCAACGAAGGCAACGACAAGAGTCTTTACAGCTCATATCTCGGCCTGGTCCCTGATTTCGGCGTCGGCTTTGCCATTCTCTCGGCCGATAGCGACACCCCAGCAGATCTCAACGCGCACGCAGATGATATCGGTGATGTCGTGCTAACAGCGTTGATGGAAACGGCTACCGAGCAGGCAGCCCGCAATTTCGGTGGCGAATACAAGGTATCCAATATCAATTCGTCTATTGTTGTTGAGTACGATAGCTTGCCTGGTTTATATATCCAGGAGTTTGTCAGTAATGGTACCGACTTTCGTGCAACGCTGGCTGGGCTCGTGGGTGTCGCGAAGCCGGCGGATCTGAGTATTCGATTGTATCCTACACAGCTGGTTGAGGATTCTGGATCTGGCTCCAAGCAGGGGTTTAGAGCTGTCTTTCAGGATGTGACTGAGTTGGCGGATGCTGGAACTGCGACTTGTGTGTCGTGGCTAGATATTGGAAGGCTCCGGTATGGAGGCCATGGCTTGGATGAGTTCATCTTTTCTCTGGATCAGAGTGGTCAGGCTGTCAGTGTTGAGATTCCAGCTTTGCGAATCTCGTTGCAAAAGAGCTAGCTAAGGGCTGATCTTCTTGCTTGAAGTCTCTTTTTTTATGTGACATCACTTTTGGAGAGCCGTGCCACCAGACATCGAATATATAAACGAAGCTATTCGGTTTGCTGAACCTCAACTTCCTCTGACTTCCTTCGACTAGTAAAGTTCAAGACATCATCCAAGCAAGATATCATCATGCACGTGACCCACGATAACCTTGCTGACATACGCATTGATGGCCCGGGGCCTGAGCTCATAAAGCGGCTCAAATAGGAAAGCCCCCCTAGGGAAAAATCCGTATACATCGAGGTACTTTGTAGGCGCGTACTTTGTACAGAAACCCCCGTCCACAATCCAACATTTCACTCCCTTCACCATGCCACTGCGTCTCACCCGCGTCATTCAAAGCAAAGTCCCCGCTTTCCCCCACGCGCGGCAACCATTCCTCCGCGTCCCGCCATCACACTTCTTCTCCTCCTGCCCCTCAGCGTCGATCAAACCTTCCCTTGTACCTAGAAAATCAATTCTAGCCTTCCAAGCCCGCAATATGTCTTCCGCCCCTGCTAAGCGAGAGTTCCTCTGCATCCTGCCCGATAAGCCCGGTGCGCAGGCGAAGCGTCTTGAGGTTCGCCCGTGAGTCCTCTCTAGCATCTAGCTTCCAGCGTGCGACGTACTCCGGGATGATGAGTCTGGCTAATGCGGTCTTTAGTAACCACCTCGAGGGCGTTAAGCCACACGTTGCGTCCGGCACAATTGTTGCCGCTGGTATGTGACCCATTTCTTCCCTTATGTAGTTAGATTGTGGTATGGGAGCTTCTCAAGCATTTGTACTGATATGGATTGTCTCTTGTTCAGGCGCAATGCTCAATGCTCACCCCGCCGATGGCGAGACACCCTCCTTCAAGGGAAGCATGGTGATGGCTGTTGCGGAGAATGAGGCCCAGGTCCTTGAGCTGCTTAACAATGATATCTATACCACTACTGGTGTGTGGGATATGGAGAAGGCGCAGATTATTCCGGTATGTTAGGCAGGAAGAGTAGAGGATTGTCTGGTTTTTTTACCTGCTCATTGCTAACTTGTTTTCTGGTTTAGTTCAAGTCTGCTGTTCGTCAGGCTTTGTAAGTTGCATGTCTAGTTTAGCTTTGCATTGGATCTGGGACTTGACATTTGTCGTTTATATTGAATAAAAACAACTGGTCATTGAGCTTGTGTTGTGTCTAGATGCCTTTGGGCTATGTGGGGTGGTCTGTTATACTTTTAAGAGCGCATAGCTTGATAGATATAGTTGGCTTAATCAGTGAGAAAGCCGAGGATAGACACGGTTAGCCCGGTACTTTTCTATCTGGGCACGGAGTCTCCGTATGGAGTATGGATATCCCGATTGGAATAAGCCGAGCACAGGAACTATACTCCGATTTTATCTCCGAATGCCAGCGTGTATCATTTCGATGGAACCCTGGAATGTACGGAATAGTAATAGCCCGATAAACGTAGATTGTATTCGAATGGTCGAAGAATCTAAGAACACCAAAATGATGATTGATCGCCCAGCGTTGACTTTACGCCTATCACTCCTATCCACTATTTGATATCATCGCCCAACAATTGGCCCAAGGCGAGGCGGAAAACAAGACGTTGACCGGGCGAGTCCACCGCGGAGAACTTCAGTGGTGCACAAAGGTCGCCACCCCTTGGAACTGATATCACCAGCACGTACTCTCACTGGCACAGAGAAAGAATACCCCAACTTTTCTCATCCCGCACATCATTTTAAATCCAGCGAAGACTGAGGAAGGGAGGAACGGACGTCATCTTTGTCATCTCCGACGACCGGCGGATCCGGCCAAAGGAACTACCCCATTAGGCCTAGCGTGCTTATCTAAGAGCCGATCAGATTATTTATGAATTCATCACTTCCTCCCTATCAGATCCATCTTTTTTTTGCCTCCCAACACATATCACCGGTGCAAATCAATACCCATATTCCATCAAATATACCCATCATAATTCAATTCAAAATGTTCAAGCGTTTAGTCACTGTTGCTCCTCGCGTCGGCTCCGTCGCGACACGCAGCTCTCTTTCTCCCCTCACTGGCTTGCAGTCCGCTCAACCCGCCATCCGCCGTGCTGCTCCTGCCCCAGCCCAACAGCGCAGAGGATATCACGAGAAGGTTCTCGACCACTACAACAACCCCCGCAATGTTGGCTCCATGCAGAAGGGCGACCAGGACGTGGGTACCGGCCTCGTCGGTGCACCCGCCTGTGGCGATGTCATGAAGCTGCAGATCCGCGTCAATAAGGACTCTGGCCGTATCGATGATGTCGTCTTCAAGACATTCGGTTGTGGTAGTGCTATCGCTTCATCCAGTTATCTGACAGAGCTCGTTCGCGGTATGACCCTCGACGAGGCTGGCAAGGTCAAGAATACCGATGTGGCGAAGGAGTTGTGCCTGCCTCCTGTCAAGCGTATGTCTCTCTTTGATGCATTTGGTTGATTCACATGCTAACTTCTCTATCTTAGTGCACTGCTCCATGCTCGCAGAGGACGCTATCAAGTCTGCCATTGCCAACTACTACACCAAGAACCCCAACACCCGTACCACAGATCTGTCCGGGACGGGCGGTGTCATTCCTGACGTTAAGGTTGAGACTGTCAACAGCCCTTCTGCTTCCCTTTAAATTCATTTTTGATTTGATTTGACGGTGTGACGCTCTCGGATGGATTCTCCATCTGAATGACGCAACCCCACTCGTTCCGTTTCACGAACTCTGCGATTTTTAATTCCGAGGTTGTCTTAATACACAATCATTTGATCAAGGATGCTGTTGTTTTGTCGGAGAGAATCGACAAGAACGGGTGTACTTGGAGTTCGTTGTACTTGGTGTCGCTGAAAATGTGTACCAAGAGATGACGATGGATGAGATGAAAACGAACAAATTGACCATTTGTTTGATGTACATATTTTCTTTTTTTAGTTTCACGTTCTCATACGTTGTGTCTTGTTCTTTTTTTTTTTTTTTCTGCGATGGCGCCTCGGGGATCCTTGATCGATACTCTCATCTCTTTCGAAAACAGCGCGCCTTGATAGTTTCCAATGAAACAGTGAACCCAGAACAGTCACCCTCTGTAAAAGTAGAGTAATATCAGAAGCAGTCTATGATTCATGATTTATCCACAATCTATCTATTTGTACAAGACCACACTGGGTCTGCGAGAACACCGCATAACGAAGCCCCAAACATAGCACAATCCACCCTTCAACAATATAGCCAAGAGCTGAAGAGGCCACATGCGAAAAGAAATATAGAACGCCATCGCTGATGCACAGACAGACCACTCAAGACAATCCAATCCGTGCCAATGAACCAAGGGACAAAACAAGGGATATAATGGAATAAAGAAGAAAGACACCGAGCGCAAGCCATCCCTCCCAAAAAAGAACATTGTCTAAACGCTCCGGAGGCCGAAGCGAGACTTCAAGGACAACACAGTCTCATAAACCGACAATTTGACCTCAACACGAAGGTAGCTCGCGTAGGCCCACAGGAAGCGGAAGAAGTTGCGGAAGACACCGCCAGACTCGTTGATGAGATCTAACTGCTCTTCGAAAACGGTTCGTGTGGCATATCGCGCGAGGATGAGGAAAGAGCGCATTGGGCCCTGGCGTGTGTGTAGGTTTTCGTCTAGGCTGCGAGCTGGGGAGGGGTTAGTCGATGATAATCCAAAAGAAGAGAGGGTCGAAAGCGAAGTACATACTAAGGTCATTGGTCTTCAAGATGAGAAGAATAATCCGTGGAACCTGGCCTAGCAAGACAACCAGCTGTTGTAGCATGCCCTCACCCAATGCACCAGAAATATCATCCTTCTCTTTAGCCGTCCGCGGGGAGACGACGCTTTCCTTCGTGATAACGCTGTAGTCTCGACCAGTAATGGCGCTGGCAAAGAGCGGAAATTGCTTGTCCGTGACGCCGGCGACCTTGTATGCGAATTCGCGCATCCGTGGCACGTCCCCATCGATAACGGCTAGCCATAGCTTGGCGTAGTTGCGGCGCAGGTCGCGGTCGATGTTGCGGTAGAGCCCGTGGTCATAGAGGACGACGTCGAAGTTGGGGTGTGAGCGGGTGTGGTTCGGACGGATGGCGATGTTGCCGCCGTGAGGATCACAGTGGAGTGGAGCGTTGTCGCCGAAGATCATTTCGTTGAAGATGTGCGCGAGGGCGGCGGAGACTTCGTCACGGTCGATGTGGTTGGCATCTAGATACGCCAGGTCGTCGGGGCGGTGGCCTGCAATGTACTCCATGACGAGGATACGTCTTTGAGACCACATCACTTGAATCTAGTTAGCCTCAGGTTACACATATAAAGACAGAGTCGGCAGCATTACAAACCTTCAGGAATGACCAGCGGGGCATCGGTGTGCTTTTTGAAGTACTCGCTGGCATGAGTAGCATTCTGGGCTTCCATGCGGAAGTCCAGTTCTTGCGGCAGCGAGAAGTCCATTTCCTTAGACAACCATTCCAGGTCGTAGTCAGGGAAGAAGCGCTTCAGCATGGAGAAAGTGAATCGAGTCAAAGCCAAGTCCAGCGGCACCCATTCGTCCAGCGCGGGATGCTGCACTTTAACAGCGACCTTCTGTCCAGTTTCCTTCAACGTAGCAATGTGCACCTGTGCCAGCGATGCAGCACCGATGGGCTTCTCTTCAAAAGAGGCGAACAACTCATTCATACTCTGCCCTGTGTCCTTCCGGAACAACTCGTCAATTGACTCAATTGACGAAACGGGGCATCGGTCCTGGAGCGGGATGAAGGTCGAGGTCCATTCGATGGGAAGCAGGTAGCCCATGCTGCTGAGGTGCTGGCCCAATTTGATGAAAATCGATCCATTCTTTTCTAGGACATGGAGTGTACGCTCGGCACATCGCTTGTGGCATGCGTGAATCAGTGCGTTATGTTCTTCGGGGGACAAGGCGGCTTGTTTGAGGGTAACACGGTAGCTGCGAAGATTTGAGGTTGCGTCAGCAATTTTGTCAAGGCACAGCATATAGAAGGCCCACAGGGTCCCCACGCCTCACTTACTCGTTGATACAGACAGCTAGTGCGCCTACAACGCGCCCACTGCGTTTGGCCGCACCCAACGCATGCTGCGCTTGATCGGAGAACGTCACTGTGCCCAGACCGAGGATACTTCCAATGATAAACCACTTTATCATACTCCGCTGCGATGCATTCATATTAGGCTCATTTTCGGACTTGTGCTGGCTCTTAGCCTCCGCAGACAAGAGAGGCGAAGCCTTGACAGAGAAAGAACGGCTCGAAGAGGCGAGGGTCGAGCCGTGGGAAGACACCGAGCGAGTCCATGACGAAGTATTGATTCTACCAAAGGAGGGCGAGTGTCGTAGCAGCGAGTTCGAGGCTAGAAGAAACGAGGATCCAGATGTCGAGGGTTTGGATGTCACCGTAGCGGGATCAATCTTGAATGTCCGCAACGACACGCGAAGCGCTGCGCTCATCCCGAAGCGAAGGCCACCGGCCAGAAAAAAACCAAAGAAAAGAGGAAATGACTGATAGTGCTTGTTGGCGTTTCTGGGCTCAATCCATCGTATGATTCTCTGTCGGCTCAGAGAGATTTTTCACGGTTCTCGCCGCCAATCGGCTTCGATGCTGCACGTGATCCGATATAGATCAGCCCATAACAGACGTCATAGCTAATTTGGCGTCGAATGCATTTGGACAAGGCGTTTGACTGGTAGATCTGATAGTGAAGCAAGCATCCAAACGGATTGTGAAGGTGTATCGTAAAAGAAACAGAGAAAATGGGATAAAAACCGTATATCAATGGCTGGCCTTAAGCCGCCAACAATACAATGATGCCTATACTATGTCTATGAGCCTATGTCAAGTACACTTATGCAAATTAGAATAATTATTGATTCGAACAAAAAAAACATAGACTCTATGTGCAGCAACCAGTGCTCACATAATAACAAGAAGGGTTTTACAAACAGTAAAACCATGCACCATCACTCCAAAGTCCATTTTAGAGTTGACAACGCCGTTGCCTGAGTATGAACCAGGCTAGGATGACCTAGAGAAATTGAAACGTAATAACACAAACATGTAAATTCGCAGTAGAACCTTTGGACGTCAAACTACGTCCACTCAGGCTCTGCGAGTGTTGGGCGGCGGCGACGAGGAATGATTGAAGGCCGCCGACTCAGGCTTGGAGTCTTGTTGTCTTCCTCACGCAGTAAGTCAACGTGACTCAGTCTATTAGAGAGGGGCCGTGTTGACCTGGGCCTGCTAGCGACCGCAGAGCTTCCATTGGCGACAGATCCAAGAACTGGATTGCTGCCATCCCGACTGCCAGGTCTCATGACCAGAGAAGAAACGCTGAGAGAGTTGCGCGGGTGTCGGGGAGTATCCCGACCTTCCAGGTATCCCCTTGACTGGCCGCGGTTGGCTGAGGGTGTGGATGGGGTAGAGGTTGCCGAGAATAAGATTGGAGGGGTAGTGCATGTGCTTTGTCGTCGGGCTGTCGGTCTGCGTTTGCTGACGCCATACGCTTCGCTGGATCGAACCAGCTTGCCTGCCATATCCCTTACGAGGACTGCGGGGTCGTTTTCCATGTTCCGAATAGCGTCGAGAAGACCATAGGTTGCGAGTAGCCCACCTTGCTCTTCATTTGAATCGCAAATACTGGCTATTATGCGCAAAAGGTTGAGTCGGACGGCAGCTTTGGCGTGATGCAGCTTCTGCCTCAGTCTCTGGAAGATATCAGGCCGCGCAAAAGTGGATGCGACAGGAGGACTGAGCCGAAGAAGCTTTTGCAGAGGTTCGAGAGTGTTTTCGAATGCGTTAGCTTTGGAAAGCTTCAAACATTCCGCAATGGCACCAGTAAATGTAATGGGGCCCTCAAACGTATCACTCTCAAATATGCCATCCAAGAGATGCTCTTCAACCTTGGCGGTTTCTTCTTGAAGCCTAATTATTATTCATTGTCAGCTTTGGGACCAGTCACGCTTTCAGAACGGGAGACAAACCATGTAAAAATAGCATCCAAGGCAGTGACTTGCCAATATGGATCCAAGAGCAAAGAGATGTAGAAGCCCAGGCCCTTGTTGCGCCATAGCTCCCTACGGCCAACTTTTCCAGATTGTGCCATGTCGCAGAGAATTGGTAGGGCAAACTCTTTTAGCGGCCGCTCTGTAAGTACGATCTTTTGCAGAAGCGGGACAATGCCGTTCAGTGCAGCATCTTCTTGCCTAGACTTGTTTAGGCGGCACATATTGTAGATGGTGTTGAGGATCTGGTTCGAGAGCTCGCGGAAATGCGATTTTCTCAGATTTGATCGAAGCAGATCGGTCAAGACATCGATGGCGTTGGAATTCTGGAGCGAATCTAGAGTAGTTGAAAGCATCGACAGGTTTTTGATGAATTTCAACATCGTAATCTGATGGACTGGGCTCATTCGTCTCAATTCTTTCAAGACCCCTTGAATCAATTGTTAGCATAGAACGTTGCAAGGGTTGTTAGGCGGATGATTCTTACTGTGCAAGACTGTTCGTTCAGAAACCATCTCCTTAACATGATTCTCGGCCTGCGAGAATATGAAGAAGATATTAGCAATACGACCCTCGATAACTTCTGTCAACTCCCCATCTTCATCGAGAGCACGACTGAGAACAAGAGACAGGGGATCAAGGACGGAGTTGCGGGATAGGATTCTACAGAAATCGTTCTTGGGAGTGGAGCCCTAAAGAAAATGGTTAGATCCGAGGAGATGCAAAGTGCAATGAAGGCGAAGTACTTACTTGCAGCTCAAAGACACTCCAGATTCCGTTCACACCAATCAAGACTAGTTCACGTTCATCTTCATAATCATCCTCGAGGAACTCGACCAGGACATTCAAACCTCCAGCACTGACGAACATCTGGAGAGTCAAGGTAGAAGTCTGGTACATCTGCTGCACGAAAGCCGCAGCCTCGAGGCGAATTTCGCGGGGGTACTTCTTGGATGCAAACTCATTGATGATAGGGATTCCACCGACGAAGCAAAGGTTTTCCTGGACCTCATAGTCATCGTAGATGATCGCGTTGACAACCCTCAACAGACAGAGGACAATATCACGCCGGCGAGTAGTGTCAAGAATCTCGAGAATTGGCAGCATGCCGTGAGCACTGATGATGATGTTTTTAGTCTCTGGGAGGTCACAGAAAATTGTGAACAATTGATCAGAAATCTCTGCAAGAACCTCTTCGTCTTGGGATGTTTTGAGAGAGTCCACAAGACCCTCAACTTGGTTGCGAAGACGTGCGTATTTATCGCGCGCAATATTTTCTTCGAGGTCGACCTCATCAAAGCCTTCTTCTAATTGCGCAAAGGGGTCATCTTCGTCTTCTTGATCTCCTAGCCAAGAGTTGGACAGCTTCGAGTTGAGCATCAATGTACTTTGATCTGAACCATCGTCGCTCTCTGTCAGATCAAGGGTAGCTTGGTCGGCTCCAAGAATATCAGAGAAGTCCTCATCGTTCTCATTCTCAGCAAACCTCTGGATCTCAATGGTAGAGCGGTCGCGCTTCACAGAAAGCTGTTTGCGCAGCTGGGGATGCTGACCACCAAAATCGTCATCTACTTGGTTGTATCCTATGTTTTCATGAATGGGTGATGATGGATCATCCTCGGAGTCCTGGAAAATGTTAGAATAATACGGTGAACTTATAGTCTTGCCGGAGACTGTACCTGATAAACACCCAGCTTTCGATCGAGTACATCCTCATTGGCCATAATGAGATCTGAATAATCATCGACAGAGTTCTCTTTATAGAGATTGGTCGCACGAGGAGGCGGACGAGTGCGTCTCGGCATCGGATTTTGGGAGAGGATTGGGACATTTTGCAGTGCAGAAATAGGGACATTGGATCCGGGCTGGTAGACCGCAGGGCTTTGAGACTTGGAAGGCTCTACTACATTATGTTTGATGGGATATGGGCGAATTGTCTGCAAGTCGTCGTCCGAGAAGCCTGAGTTATCCTCAAAGGGGTCAGAACTATCATCCGATTTGAGTATGGTCCCATCGAGTGAAGCAAAAGCTTTAAGTCTCTCAGAAGAGAGCATGCCACCGAAGTTATCATGTGGCCGTAGATGCGGCAACTTGAGTGCGCTAGGAGAGATTGCAGTAGCAAAGTCATCGTCCCAATTGTCATCCCCTGCTGAGACAGGTGAGCGAAAGCGATCCGTGGGTTTCATAGAGGTTGGCGATGGCAGGGTGTCGACCAATGGGTTATTCCGGGTAGATGGCAGGCCTGAAGTACTGGGGTGGTCTGGTCTCTGCTTCTTCTTTGAAGTCCCCGCTTCGGGGGACCGCAAAGCCTCGTTCCATTCTTGGACACTCTTGACGGCTTCTTCATATTCTGTGGACTTTTTGGGGATCACAGATTCGGTTCTGCGCGCATTTACAATCCAAGGATGTTTAAGCAACTTTCTTGCTGAGACTCGAAGGTTGGGGTCTTTCTGGAAACATTGCATAAGGAAGTCTTTCACAGCCTAGATAAAAGTCAGTCTTGCATGCATATGTTGAAACGATCGATAAAGACGTACCGGCGAGGCACCCTGCGAAAATGGAGGGTGATCATCGTTTACAATACGAAATAGTGCTGGCATAGGCTGCATGTTATGATACGGGGGTTTCCCCTCGAGTAGCTCGATGACAGTGCATCCTAAACTCCAGATATCGGAAGCTGTTGTTGCGCCTGAAAGCTCGATTACCTCAGGGGCCATCCAGTACGGTGTACCAACCACGCTTGATTCACTCAAGCCCGTGGTCCGACTCGCCACACCAAAATCTGCAAGCTTGACGAGTCCTTCTTTTGTGGTTAGAATGTTTGCACCCTTGATGTCTCGGTGAATAACACCCTGTTCATGCAAGTAGAGTAAACCATGAAGAACCTGGGACATATAAAGACCCACAAGGTTCTCGGGGAAACGACCAAAGTTCTTCGCGATGGAATGCAACGAGCCATTTTCGCAATATCTATAAGACATTAATTCTATGTTCCCTTGAATTTGACCCGGGAGAGACATACTCGAGAATGATATTCAGAGTTTCGACGGATTTCACAAATCCATGGTACTTCACAATGTTCGGGTGCTGCAAGAATCTATATCAGTACGGTGTTTGTTGACATAGCTTGACGGGGTTGTCTCACATCGAGATTTTTGAGAAGATCGATTTCAAGCTGTTGCGTCGCATGTTAGCAGATCAGACGAACTCCGAGAACGATTAGATCCCATACCATGATAACGCGCAATTCACTCTTGGGAAGGTCTGTCAACTTGATTTGCTTGACAGCGACAGTCTCCCCAGTATTCCAATTCAACGCGCGATACACGGAGCCGAAAGCTCCTTTGCCTAAGCAGTCTCCCAATTGCTAGCATCAACACCCAATGTCAGCATCTGCCCAATCCATATTTTGCGGGGAAACAGGGCACCATATTCATACGTAGTCCTTGAGCTCTGCAACATCTTTTGCCGACGACTTCAAAACTTTATCATCCTTCGGTTTCTCTTCTCGCTTCGTAGGACTCGTTCCGACTCGTGTCAATCGCGGCTTTATCGGGGTTCCGGGGGTTCTCGAGGATGGGGTGAGGGGGCGAGGCTGCTGCCCTTCGCTCCCTTCGCCGGGCCGAGCGACCATGATGCAGCAAGCTAGGATCAAATGTATCCTAGTATGTGTTCGAGTTGGCTGTCGGTCTCACGATGTGGTTTGATGGAGGGGGTGGGGTGAAAGCTGAGGAAGGAGGCAACCTTAGAAGAGCTGATCGCAACGGTCTCAGAGGTCATGTCCACAGGATCTGGCAAACATAATTGGCAATTAGTCCGAGTCTATCAAGGCACAAACAAGCATCACAAGAGACGTTCGCGTGCGGTCGTTGTGGGGAAAGTCTCACCAAGTGCACATTACAGCACTTCAGCTCTCACGCCCTAGAGAGCTGTTTCCACGACAAGTCGAGGTGCATGTAAGGTCTTCAGATGGTAGCAATTACCATGCAGAATTCTGAAGAATAGCGACCTAGTAGAGGTGACAATAGAATGTGAAAGAGGGTTGTTCGCAAAGAATCGTTGTTGTTTTGAACTTTCGTTCTCCACCCGCCGCATCATGCAGGCTGTGCTGGACAATCGCCGATCAGCCCTGCCATACCATTTTGGTAGATTTTTATTATTTGACCAAAAGGATCACAATATCTTGATGTATAGCTGTACTTTACTAAGAGGAATGAGAGGTAGAAAATGAAATAACGCTTGTTGTTGCTGTGGGGTTATTTACCGCTATAGATCGGGGAAATCCAATCTGATCTATACAGGGTATCATTTTTGGGCACGGAGAAGGCGCATTACATCTGAAACAAGGTACAAACTACCAGCAATAACAAGAGGACCCCCTTGAGACTGCTCACTAGCCCACCGAAGGGCAGGCAGTAAATCTCCTTCGAAGCTCTGGACTTGGCCAATATTTTGGATAGCTTCGATGGAGGAGGCAAGCTCTTTGGCGTTAGTTGGTCGGACCCAGGGCATCCCGTCCACGGGACCAAATTCGGCGGTGGCGACTCGGTCTCCGGGCCGGATAATCGAACCAAAAACCCCAGCTAGATCCTTTCCACTTGACGCGGCAACAACCCAAGTCACAGGTTGGCCTTGAAAACGCATTTTGCGGTCCACATACTTGCCGAGAACTTCGGCAGATTGAGCATTGTGGGCACCATCAAGCAGGATAGGCTCTGCACGGCCAATCAAAGGTTGGAGGTCAATTTTTTGCAAACGGCCTGGCCATGTTACGTCGGCCAGATATGGAAGCAACGAGAATGCATCCATCTCAGGTCGTAGTTGAGAAAGGGCAAGACGAAGTGCGGACACTGCGCAACACATGTTTTCTTGTTGGTGAGGCTCTAGATCAAGCTTCTGGAAGTAAGATGCAAGTGCCGGAATTTGTTCGGAAACCGTTGCGGGAGAGACAAACAAGGAATCAATACCCAGTTCTCGAATGCGTGCCCTCACAGTTTCAATCACTTCCGGACTGTTTGTATTGTCTACCACACAAGGGACTCCAGGCTTGAGGATTCCCGCCTTCTCACGGGCAATCTCCCTAATTGTTGTTCCAAGGAAAGCCTGGTGGTCCACCCCTATCTTTGTAATGACCGAGACGAGAACATTATTCAAGATATTTGTTGCATCCAGGCGGCCTCCCATACCCACCTCAACCACACCGACTTCGACCCGTTCATGGTTGAATATCTCGAACGCCGTTGCGGTCAACAACTCGAATTCGGAGGCACCGATGCCTAGGGTTTGATCTCGTAGTCTGACTTGGTCTTCAATCTGTCGGAAAAGGGATTCTTTGACCACTTTCTCTCCAATTGTAATACAGTCCCACCGATCAATTAAATGCGGGGAGGTGAAGCGGCCACAACGCACTCCGCCGGTGGACAGCAAATGGGAAAGGTAGGCACTGATAGATCCTTTCCCGTTGGTTCCAGCAATGTGAATGGCCTTCCATGAGAGCGTAGTCTGCTGAAGCAGACTCGCGACCCGACTCAATCCCAACTCAATCATTCCTCCAAGTGTGACGTGATAGGAATTTCGAGGTCAATTGTCGAGGTCAATTGTCGAGGTCAATTGTCGAGGTCAATTCATTATCGCCCGAAGGATTAGGGAGCGACAAGATGATTCAGGATTTCAATGCTTCATTGTCAATAAGTAAAGCAGAGCCCGAATGCGCGTAGCCCACCTTCCAAAGTCGGAGCTTAATCGGAGGAATAACCCCACGTGACATTCTCATTCGCATACTTCCGATATGATGCTCTCCGTTCTTTACTGACAATGGGAGAAGTTTTTATAATATCCACCCATTTACCAGTTAACTCAATCAAGGGCATTTATACTTATTGATTGTCAATCGAGACATTGCACGAATAGGCTATTGAAAGATGTCTAGACAAGTCACACGTGACCTAGCCATTCTAGCCATCACAACCTCAGGCATTCACAACTCTAAAAATCCAATCGATCTCTCCCGTCTCCATCTCCCATCTCCACCGTTATCGCATGTCGCGTCCTAATTCCATAATTGCCTTTTCGGTCTTTATTTGTCCTTATTTATTAAACCTCTTTGTTTACCTGCCTTTCTTTCTGCCCCAAAAGTAAAATGGGTATCCCGTAAGTCATCCATTCCTCACGTGGGCGCGCGAAGCTATCGCATGCGCCACTGTTTCGAGGCATAATGTTGACTTGATCTACAGTATGTGGCGTGAGCCTCCCAAGTCCGAAGCATTCAAGTCCACATCAGAAAAGGACACTTCTGCTACTGCACGCTCATCGATTCGCCGAGCACCGTCGCGAAACACTAGCTCCCGCGTGCGCCGTGCCGATATCCTGGCTTCGTTTCATTCACAGATCATTGATGAGCTCCGACGCGGCGCCGTGGAACCTAGACGTGTGCCGCGCTTTTCTTTCATTGCGCCGAACGGGAATGTCGACAATGCAGTGGCTGTGGAACCGGCCGATCGTGTGGCCCTCAGCAGCTGGGCTCGGTCGGAAGCCGCAAGTACAAACCGACAGACAGATACAACAGTAGCCAATCAGCTGTTCAGAAATCATCGCGATCAAGCCTTGGCCGAGCTTTTCGGTCGCATGGACGGTCAGCCCGGTAACACCAATGCCGGTCCTTCATTGACTCCCAACTTCGCTCCCGCTATCGCATACCACACCAGCGCTTCGTCGACTCCTTCGGACAGCGGCCTTCGTCTCCCCCCTATGCGTGAGAGATACAACAGTGATCGCACCTCTAATACCTCATTCCCACCCGAGATCCCTGAATACCGGTCTAACAATACACAAACCCGGCCAAACCGAGACCCCGTCGTAGACGGGCTTGGGGATCGCCAACGCAGTCCCAGTCCAGACGAAGAGCGGGAAAGCGTTGTGTGGGAGACTTTACTCTCAACCATTGCACCCGATGAGACTCTTCCATCAACTAATACTTCTTTCACTTCAACTTCTGCTGCCGTTCCAGATATTTCGCGCAACCCTCGTCCTCGCAGCTCTGTCAACTTGACGCAGCCGATGACCGCGGAAGCTGCTCGTACTCACTTCGGACTTGACCCTTATCCTGACCAACTCAATCCTTGCGACTTCTCTTCCGATGATGAGGAACCTCCCTCTACTCTCCAGGAATTCATTGGACGACGACGGGCAGGCCGTTATCCTGATCAGCATTCGACTATGAGCAACCATCCTCCTGTTCCTATCCCTACAATCATCCCTGCAAGCGTTCTTGCTCTCTCTGACGCGCGCCGCCAAAATTCCTCTCTCTCCGATCGTCACCAGAACGATGACCTCCACCACATGCAGGTCATCCTGGACCGACTTGCTCGTCGTGAGGATATTCCCGACGACTGGTGGGCTGCGGCTGGCCTCGCACGCACTCTCGACCGTGGTTCCAGTGCGAGCATGGACTCCACTGACACCGAGGGCGCATCCCGAACCAACCGCGACAATTGAACACTGCTAGTCATGTGGTGATGCTGAATGATACGAGATTTGATATTGGCGATATTGGAAATGGGCGTTTTCCGGCGGATCTCACGGGTTTTTAATTTGAATATCGGCGTTGACAGGTCCTTTCGAGGCTGCTTTGTAATCTTACATTTTCCGGTTTCCTTGTCGATTATTGGACAAACGGACACGAACGGCCACCTCGGGGGTCTTTTCAATATTATCTGTCCTCAACTTTTCCCTTCTGTAACTTTTTATATCTTCGGGGATTCTGATTCTTCCACTGTCCAGACATAAATAGAACATATTTACTTTCGGTGCCTGCCAAGTCCAGTGACGTATATCTCTCGGAGTACAGCAGTCCCCACTTGGAGAGCCCCGCCAATATGTGAGGTCGGGGGAAATTATGCTTAGTCCAACAACTCAAAGAGGCAAATAACATACAAAGTAGTTAGATCCAGTGTCAAAAATTGCCTTGTACACTGATCTGCAACACTCAAGCGTACTACAACACGTTGCTCAAACCAATTCAGGGCGTTCCTTCCCTCGGATATTTCTTATCATACACATTTGATCCCAGCGTGACCACTAGCCAACTATGGATCAACAGGTAGACCGACTGGTCAACAAGACCTGGGGTGAGTAGATCCAAGAACAAGCACAAGCTCGAATTACTCCTGCTATCCCACCCCACCATCAACGCTACAACCACGTCCAACTAACAACCCATCCCAGCAAAACTCTGCTCAACAGCAGACGACGCGCGCCTAATGATCGCCATCAGCGGGATTCCAGGATCTGGCAAGACAGGTCTAGCAACGATGATGGCAGCGCGGATTAACAAAATCTACGCCTCGGAAAACCCCACAATGCCAACACCAATAGCCATCGCCCTCCCAATGGACGGGTACCACCTGACACGCGCACAGCTAGCCGCCATGCCGGACCCGGTGAATGCGGCAGCACGACGAGGTGCGGCGTTTACTTTCGACGGCAAGAAATTCCTCGAGCTTGTGCAGGCTCTGCGAGAGCCGCTTACGGGCCGGACGGGAAGTCTCTATGCGCCGAGCTTTGACCATGCTATTAAGGATCCGGTTGATGGGGATATTGCCATCCCGGCGAGTTGTCGAGTGCTGTTTTTTGAGGGGAATTATCTTAGCTTGGATCAGGAGCCGTGGAAAACGGCTGCTTCGTTGATGGATGAGCTTTGGTTTGTGGATGTTGATTTTGAGGTTGCGAGGAAGAGGTTGGTGGTTAGGCATGTTAAGGCGGGGATTGCGAGGGATGAGGTTGAGGCGGATAAGAGGGCTAGAGAGAATGACTTGGTTAATGGGAGGGAGATTGTGGATCATAGGTTGCCGGTGCAGGAGGTTGTTTCTAGTATTTTTGATCCTGTTTGGGAGAAATGGGCAATGTGATCTTGACGAAGGCTATGATGTACAGAGTTATTACTATGTTGATTTGAGTATCCTTGTGTTATTAGGAATTCAAAACACGTCCAGCGACTATATCCTTGGCATAGGAAATAGCTCGGACGGATTCTGTGAATTTGTGAAGGACAAAAAGTCCGATAGAAAGATGATAGCAAAGTGGGTTTTAAAGTCGTACTAGACTTTCTCATAGAGACATACTCGGTCCCTACGATGTATACATATCGATATGCTCTACAGATTGCATATTTTGAAGTAGTAGTAACACACTAGCTGTTTCGCGAGATCGATATCCACCCATCTTGGTCTATAGTTATCGAGATACTAGCTCTATAACCCCCAGCACTAGCGTAAGTGAAACCCTTCTTAACTCGACGTTTAGATACTGATGGATCCCGGCTTCTCCTATCATGACGCCGATTTGACTATGTGGTTTCTAGCCCATGGAGCAAACCCTAACCAGCGATGTGGTAAAGATCGCACCACACTGTCTACCGCTTTTCAAGTTGCCAGCTTCGAGATCATTCAGAAGCTTCTTGAACACGGTGTCGATGTATTCCAAGGCCAGGTGCTGCATTATGCGGCAAGACGCCGATTGGATGATCGACTCCAAGTTCTCGATTTCCTCCTTGAGAAAGGTCTACCGATCAACAACATCATGTTTCTGTACTCCGATGACTATTACGCCAATATGTTTGACGGTATTGGTACTCCGCTTCATTATGCGGCTGATGCGGGTCTACTTGACCTGTCAAATATCTGGTTGAGAGAGGAGCGTCAGCAAGAATCCGAGATCCCGCAGGACGAATCGCTCTCAACTGGGCCGAATTCAACAACCACAAGGCCGTAACTGATTTTTTCGTCCATTGTCTGTTGAGAATGACCAACATCTCGTTGCACAATTTACAGATGAACCTGGGCGCCACTTTACCCTTAATGGAGGAATTCATGGCAAAAAACGACTACTACTTCGTTAACATTTAGTTACATGATTTTTCGGGGTTTCTTGAACTCGTTATAGTTGAATAGTCCGATATATGTTCATTCTACTATGACAGCCGATCGTCTGACACACAGGCGCACTGGTTATCCGGATATATGTTGTAGTATATCATCATCCGCAGTACACTCCCGCAAAAGGAACATCATCAAGGCGGCAAAATGACATCCTCATCTTATCACCACCTCCCATCATCGACCAGAGATCGAAGAGGGTATATATCCAACATTTCATCTACCCCGGAAATTTGTCATACTGATCCACAATCGGGCATGCTTCAAGAACCTTTACACATCGAAGCTCTTTATCGGAATAATCCAGGCTTCCATCTTCAAGGGTCTCGATTGGTGCACCTTTCAGCGTTTGCAGAGATTCTTCATTGATAATCATGCACATTCGCCATTTGGTCCAACCGTCACGCATGCCTTGAGTGTCCACCCAGGCCTCAAATAAGCACGAATTGCTTCGAGAGACGCCCCGTTAAATTGCGCCGGATTTTGCAAGATGGTCGACCGCTGTTTGGCCCAGATTTCATTAGGCTCATTTGGTGGATATTCTTTGGTTTCTTGGAAGAATTCTTGCTTGAAACAGGCCTCAATAAACCGAATAGCGTCTGGAAATAGAGTATCTGAATCAGCGGAGTAGGTAGTGCGATATATGACAAATCCCCAGTCTGGGTAAGTGCCGAGGTTATCTCGGAGCTCGTCCATGTTGAATTAATTGTTTTAATCGCGATTGCGTAGAATTTGAGTTGGTGGTTGAGGAGGAAAGAGATGAGGAAGGGAAAGAAAGTCTGGAGTCTTCTGCCAAATTGTCGTTACAGCTCCCCAACCACGAACCCACATCACCAGGCTTGGGACCTGCTAGATCTGTTACATGGTTGGCTTCGTGGCACTCGATATGTGTCTAGCTTGGACAGCGAACCACACAGGCCAGGAGAAAATGATCCGTCTGTATCAAGCATGAAAAAATAACTATATCTATCCTATATTCCGGCACTTTATCCTAGCTGCAGACATTATAGATTGTACTCAGAGTGGTGTGCACGAGCAAGAGAGAGAATAGATCACTGGCGTATGGAACTCAGGATCGAGAACCTGGAACCGTCCCTATGGGGATCAGCTGTCGAAGTCCATATACCAAAAGTAAAAAGGGTACAGGTCAGACATGTGAAAAGAATTAGTTCGATGAACAAGCACAGCGACTACTTTAATTAAGAGAAAGAGTCCAAACGCAAACAGCGTGTCTTACCCCACAAAGAAATGGCAAAAAAGGACATTCCCATCCAGTGCCTGGGGTTATACTCCCAGGTCGCCACTTAGGGGATAGTAATGCTGAAGTAACCCCAACCAGCTTTACCCTAAGATCTAGTCGTCCCCACCTGCAGGCACACATTGTCGGACCTCCAGGGCGCGCGTATCGATCTCGCGCGCTCCAGCGGGTCCAGACCGGTACCAGCAAGGTGGGCAATTAGGGGAGCATAATTGGAACATTTATGACCGTGCACTGGGTGGGTCGAACGCTGGCAGCTAGGACCTAAACTAGCATTGAAAACGCATGTCAACACACTCAGCCACTGGGGGAATGTCGGTTAGGGGGAAGGTGTTGCTATGAAATATATAGGAACAAACACTTCCTAAAGGGGAAGGTGGGTCCGCTCCACCACATTGCTTATCACGTGATGATGTCTGAATGTACTATGAAGAATGAATCCTTGTAATATACATCGTTTAATCCAAAAAGGTATAGACCTACACATAATGAAATCGTGGAATGGTAAAGCGAAGTGGCCGCTCTACTTTTCACTTCTCCCTCACTTGACCTTTTCTCCTTCTCTCACTTGACCTTTTCTCCTTCTTCTCGCCTTCTCATCTTCTGTTGGGTGCCCGAACTTTCAACTTTTAGGACGAGTCCGGTATCCTCCTCATAACCGGCGAGGCGTCCTTTCCACGCCCTTGGTGCGGCCTTATTGATCATCCTGGGCCTTTTCCTCATTCAGAGATACCTCCCTCGCGCGTATCAATACCCTTTCATACACCTCTTAGTCTTCGACTGAAGGGAAGCGAGAACCGGTGAACAAGGATGGGAACCGTCTCAACACCTCTTACTTTATATATGCCTCGAGTGCATAAAGCAGATACCTGGAAGTTCCTGCGCAACTTAGACAGCGTTGGTCTGAACTTGAACCTGAACCTGAAAATCGTCGAATACCTTCAAGAACACCTCACCATGGTTTCTCTCCTGATCTACCAGCTTTTTACCCCGAGCTATTGACCTCTGGGGATCCCCGGTGTACCAGAAGCTTAACCCACACTTCGAAGCCCCCGGCTATAATGAATAAGGTCCTTCGATCTAAGAATGACTTTCTGACTGATTACCAAGAAGCTTCCATGAGACAGAGCTGGTTTTTTCCTCGGGACCACACATCGGTTTTCTTCGCCTATTGTCGAAAATATTATGCACACAATGATCTTGACTGTTTCGACCAGTCATATATCTAGTATCGGCGTTGATGGATGCTAGTATTTTCGCGATTATTGAGTTTATGGATTTAAGGCTGGCTTCAATCAATGTGAGGGAGCATATTACATAGCTTACATAAGCTCTAGGTGGTTACACCGAGAGCGTACAGTCATGTTTCATGAGTATTTGCACCCCAGTACTTCGGGGGGGGGGGGCCTATTTTCTGCCGGAAAAACTTCGTACTCACTCCCAGCCAGTCGCACTATGCGGGTGGCTCCTATAATAATAGGAATAGGCAGGCGGTATTCACAGAGCGGTCAATGGTAGAGGTACCGGGGTACAAATACTCATGCAACGCCACTGTAGACAACATCAATAACAAGCATCTTTACCACCACCAAGCTTTTTCCATAACAGATTGGT